CTTTATTACAGGTTATTGTCTTTCTTTTTTTTTTTTTTTAATTACTGAAAGCTTTCATAAAATATTTATGTTAAATTTTGAAGTCAATATAATTTTTTTCAAATAAACTTCAAATTTAATAAAATTATTTTCAAAAACTGACTGGTAGAAGATCCAATGAGTTTTTTCTTTTTTAAAGAATTTTTTTTAGATTAATTTTTCTAATCTTATTAATTTTAATTTTTTTTTTTTGATAACATATCGGGATTTTTTTTCTAAAAAAAACAAAAAGATGAAGCGATTTGATTAGCGATACAATTTAAAGAAGGTAAGAAGATGGAGAATTTGACAGAATTGAAAATGTCTCCGAATTTGACAGAATTGAAAATGTCTCCTTCGTAAATTTTAGTATCTGTATCAAAATTCTCATTGATTTTTTTATTATTTACAAACTTCCTTAATCGATATATTTCTCAAGAATATCTTAAAAGTTGATGAGCAGATTACTTTCTGAGATTGTTTCTCAATAATTCATTGCAAATTCATCATTTGCATTCCTTTAAACTTAACTTAGTTATGTTTATAATTTTGTGAAACCTTCTCCTCTTTTTTGTTTCCCTCATTGATCGATAGTTTTGACATTTCTTTTTTTTTCCTAAATTTCTTTTCAAAATTTGCTATTTCTCCGTTCAATAGTTTCTTCCAGTAAGATTTAAATCGAATTAAATTTAGTAAATTTTTAAACAGCTATTTTTTAACAAGCATTATCTATGATGATAAAAAGGAATTAAATTTTTAGATGCTTCATATGAGTTCATACTAGAAATGAAGGTCAACGAGTCCAGTCGTTTACATATTATACTGGGTGGTGTAGAACGTTTTGGGAAAATGAACCCGAAATTGATATATGATAAATATTTGAAAGGACCTTATATCCATCATGATAATAGTTCAGCCTGCAAACGTTATGCTATTGTTGCTCGATGGCCTGAATTTAAAGGTATATGATGTGACAAATTATTTTAAAATTAATTCTCTGTCAGTGTTTCTTAGAATAAGTAATCAAAAGAATTTCATTATTTTTTTTCTTCCATCTTTTTCATGTTTCCTGCAACTTATCAACTTTCCAAATTAATTAATCAAAAAATTTATTGCACCTTTAATTGCTATAATTGTTAATAATCATCGGAGAATTTATTTCGTGCAAAATTTGACAAAATCAACTGAAATTTTAATCTGTAATGAATTGGGTTAAATTGCATAATACAAAATTAAATCGCCTTAAATTGACAATTTTTCATGGAAATAAAGAAATCAAGCGAAGAATAGAAGCTATGAAACTTGTTAATGGACAAAAACCAAAAGGTATATAAAGTATATATATTTATCTTAATAATAATTTAACAAATAATAAGAAATCGTTAAAAACACAATTCCATTATCATTGATAACGGAAAATATTTTAAACACTGAGCATAGCTTTGCTCATTGAATAACTTCGATTTTAATGGAAATCTCGATATTGTACTGCAATAGAATTGATTATAATATCAAAATATGGATGGATTATACTTTGTGTGAATTACATGTAAACAAATAAATATGAAATAAATAAATAAATGACAAATAATTAGATAAAAAAGTTTATAATTAAAGAAATTTTTCAATAATCAATCAATTTCTAGGAATAGTGGATATAACGGTACAGTCAATGTCATGTAATGAATTGAAAAATCACATATGGCATGTCATATGCAAACGACATGTAAGCCAAAAAAATAAAATTTTGAATTTACAACAAATTGTTAAGAATAATAATGCATTAAAAATATTGAAAATTCATTCGCTTAACGTATTCATTGTGCAAAGGAAAAAGAAAAGGTAAAAGAAAAGGTAAAAAAAAAAAAAACCCTTGGCTAAATTAAAAAATGATTACGTAAAGAATCCAATAAATTATAAATTATTGAAGTGTTTTCCATATTTGGAAGAAACTACTACGACAACCAGAGATTTCACCGTTTATAGAAGAGGTAACATTGATTGAAAAATATAATGTGCTAATATTTTTTTTACAGTGTAGTTAACAAACCATGAATACATATCAATTTCTATATAAATATGAGCGTGACAAGAAAATATTTGCGAGTATAACTTCAAATGAACAAAATTTGAAAGATTCTTCTCTCGTATGATGCTGAATAATTGAAATATAGATATTGTTGGTAATATTACCTATTATTCGAAGAAATAAATTGATTTTTAATCATACACTTCAAGAAATTTTTCTTTCTTGTATTCAGGTAATTTGGGAGAACAATTCGAGATATTCTCTTCCTCTGCTTCCATTTGGTGCCAATAAGTTGTAAGTTTTGGATGTTACAAAATATTGCTTCGCAGAGAAAACTTAAATTTGAACTCAGTGAATAACATTTTTTTCTTTCTCATTCGCTATACTGGAATTAGCTGTAATGGAAAGGAAAATATTTTTCCAGGCTATCTACGACAAATGTTCCTCCTACTCTTGCTATACTGTTGCAAAGGATGAAAATTATTTTAAAATTAAATTATTGGACAAATCTCCAATTTCTATTTATACTGAATAAATATGATCAAATATTAACATTTAGTAATTAAAATCTAGCATAAAGTTCTTTATAAAGAACTAAATGTAACCAAAGCAATAAGGCATAATAAGCCGTCTACTTAGTTTAACAATGATTTATGATGTAAAGAATATTTGTTACTTATTTCACAAAAATGATTGAGGCTACTAAGATAATAAAAGTATGATAACATAAAAGTGCATTAAACTTTAATTAGTGGAAAGATAATGAGAATGGGGAGAAACAAGAAAGTTAAGATAAATGGAAAAAAAAAGAAACGAGGAAGGAGAGAATGATATTTGCCAAATTACTGGATATTATTGGATTATTACTTGCAAAATTTCAGTTGAAAAGTTCCAAAAAATATCAAATTTATTCTAATTTTCTTTTCCCCAAAGCAAGGGACTTGAAATTATCTCTTCTTAGTTGTCCACTGATAACATTTCTATCGTCACCAATTGTCTTATATTTTATCATAATAATACATTCATATTAATAAGGCTCTTTTATTGGTGAACAGTAAGAAAAAAAAATTAATACCTCAG